CAGTTTTATTGTGTCCTTCATGAAATCTTTACAACTATCAAAATTATAGAAATTATGAAGATAAATGGGATATTTTGCACATTTTCTAATTGAAAACAGGATTCTCAAGGTTTATATTGAGACATTTTCTGCATTACACAGTATGTCAATGAATATAGTTTTGACTAAGCGGTAAATCAACTCTTATAGGCTTTTTGTGCGTTTATGAAAACTGCAGGTGATAACAATATTCTCTCATGGTGTGTCCGTGTGTGTTAGTTGGAGTGCATTGCAGTGGATGATGTGGAGTCTTTCCCAAGGACAAATGTGCAGTTATGTCGACCTTCTGAACATATTTCAGTTTCCAAAAACTATACAAGGGCGGACAAATGACACCACTGACATTTTTGTGTGACAATGCAACAACCAATGGCGACAGCTGTGGTTGCATTTGTGGCTCTTGCTTTTCCAGTCACTGCCTGTAGACAACGATTCTGATTCAGAAGCAATAAAAACAAATGATCCGTTTTTTTTAAGTGAATCTATGTTAAAAAAAATCACCTTTGTTGTGTTATTTGGATTTGGTCAAATGATTTCTGCAAGTGTTTCTCAACACTTTGGTTCTTGGTGGATTAAGTGTTAAATTGAGCAAATGAAGTCATCCATACTAAAGAGGTAGTATAAGTAATGGTCAAGATTAGAGTCATTTATCTCTGAATAAGCTAAACAAGCTCTTTGATATAGCATACTCATTGTGAACTTCTCAGCCAGCTTTGAGAAAGAAAACAATGTTTTAAACCTATAAAAGGAAAAAGTTGTTGTTTTTCTGTCTGTTTTTAATTACTAAAGGGCCCTTGAGCTCCGAACGTTTCCTCTGTCGTCTCACCAACTCCTCTTCTCCTCCCCCTCCCTCCCTTTTCACATGCTCCCATTTTCCCACCTCGTTTTGCCACCCAGCCTCCTCTGAGTACCCTTATCCATCCATCTTTCTCTCTCTGTTGCCCCCCTCCCTCCCTCCCTGCCAGCATTTCATATCCCAGTCAGCCGTCTACTTCTGCATTTCTCTCACCTTGTTACTGGCTGGGGAGAGTGTAAATTGTGTTGCTTTAAATACCCGTGTCTTCCTCTGGCTTACAGCTCTGGTTGGAGATGAAGAAGTGGGATGTGAGGAGAGAAGAAAGAAGCCAGTGTTTAACTTTCACGTCTGCAAAGGATAGATAGGTCGCTGCGTTCATTTTTGCAGCTCGAGTATTTAGCCCGACTTAACCATTTAAACTCTGGCTGAACTTCCTTCCACTCCTTTAACTTTGCTGTTAAAAGAGATTTGCAGCTAAATAAAAGCAGCTGCGTTTGGATCCGAGGCTTATCAGGGTCACATTCTAGTGGTGACCAACTCCAAGCAGCTCAGACCAGTGGATGGGTTGGGTGTACCACTTTAGAGCATCAGCAAGCCACAAAAACTTTTTAAGAAGTCATTTTGAAATTGATGCTGCTAACTCCAGCCGTCTCGTTCTATAGAGACTTTGTGTCATTAAAATATGATGAAATACTTCATGAATTATCCCTCCTAAGTGCAAGAGTGCTCAAACATAATTAACCAAACATTTCTTTGATTATGTTTTGACTGATAGACTAAAAAGGAGTCTTTCTCATATAAGGTACAACAGCAGCTGGAAGTGTCATCATCAGTGAAACATTTGGAGTCTCATGCCTGAGATTAGCCTTTATCTATAGCTCAAAGTGGCACGAAGCTTCTGATGAAAAACGGCGTTCCAGAGTCTGGTCTGGAAATATTTTACTGGAATTATTAAAAACACAAGTGGCACTTTCACATTTTTTACTTTTACCCCATTAACAGCAAAAACAGCAATAAAAACAATGCATCTGTGTGTTTTTTTCCAAATCTTGCTTTTGAATTGAAAGAATTTACTTAATTGCCGACATTTATTCTAAATCGTCTGAAACCAAAAGGAGGATGAAGAGTCTGGCCCTCACCTTTGATTTAAAATAGTCTTTTTAAAAAATGGTCTGAAAATACCTACATTATGCTAATATGGCTCATCGAGCTTGAACAGAAGAAATCTTCTGAATGACGGAGTCCGGCAGGACAGCCAACCTCTGCGCATTAATGAGGAAAGAAAAAAAACAACAACATTGGTAAACGACAAACTGCTGCATTTATGGAGTTTGTTTTGATGAACCAACTGTATTAAGGAAGGTTAGTCATTTCTAACTTTAGAGATTCTGTCAGCTCTTTAAAGGTGTGGAGCACATTTTTAAGGATTATTTCTGATTATAATCAGTCATTCTCCACCACATAGCAGAAGCTCATCCAGGTCTGAGTTATTTATGGAGATAAAACATCCGCATTGCAACTCAGTGGTAGAGTTGCGTTGCTGTTAGCCAGTTTGAGGCGAGATTCCACAGCAAATGTATTAATTAAATGAGCGAAACACACCTTTAAAGCATTAACCTGGTGAGTTGGTGTCCAGTAAAATCATTGTTAAAATTTGAGTGCATCAGTAAAAAAAAAACCTGAACACCATAACACCAGCAGCGGCAGTCTGGACAGAGAAGATAGGTAGTTTGAGAGAGGAGTAGAGGACGCTATCTATGTGAAACAGGAAATACCAACATTAAATAAGGGAGGACTTGGGCTAATGACTCATCAGGGGGTAGGGAGGAGGGATACTCATAAGTAGTTTCTGCTCATTAAGCTACAATAGACTGCTACAACTCCCTCCTATATTCCAGTCAGAATTGACAAAGCTCCTCGGATGAGAAGCAAAACGTCTTCAGGAAACCAAAGAAGTCCAGTTGCCTTCATTCAAACCCGTTTGATCCATTAATACAAGGCAGGATGGATCCATACTTTCATGTTTATACCAAATTCTGATCCGACCATCTGAATGCTGCCAAAGTTGAGAATCATCAAACCAGGAACCATTTTCCAGTTTCTTACGTTCCGGTTCTGGTGATCCTGTGTTAATTTGAGCCTTTTTTTTTATTCTTAGCTAACTGGAGTGTCCATCTGTTGCCCACTGGGAATGTTCTCTTTATCGGACCATCCACCCTAAAGAAGGTTGTGGTAGATCAGCAGTTTCTGAAACCTACACATCGACACATCCGGCACCAACGATCATCACACATTCAGAGCCACTTGAACCCACTTTGTTCATTGTTCTGATGCTCCATTTAAACTCGTCTTCATCACATCTAGATGCTCAAATGCACCAGGTTGCTGCTGGCTACCTGGCTGGAATAGGTGGACCTGCGTGAGAGTCAGCAGCAGCTGAAGACATTACATAAGTCTGGGTTATTTCTGAGAGCTTATTGTGGTTGGCTCAATGAGCGATGCCCTGGGATAACCAATTTGCTGAACGTGTTCCTTCCAAGTAGAGGAGCTCATGCGATCAGCTGCAAGAATTAGCAAAAGGCGCTATTAAAGGAGACACTAATCCACACTGCACTTGACCACAGATACAGCCCTTAGCCATCTTTGTACTTGGATAAACTTACCACAAGGTCAGCCCTGCATTAAAACGCCAGTGAGGGTCAGGCAGAGATTTCCTGACACGCAGGGCCGGTGGAGCCAGGGTGTCTTTTTGAATCCTGCTGGAAAGCAGCAGCCATACCTTGAGAGCCGTTATCGCTCTCAATCCTCACTGCCCAGAGGCTCTTTCCTGTTCTAATAATTGATGTGTTCTGATGCTGAAACAGTCTTCCATCTTTAAAAGATGTCCGAAGCTCCTGCAGGCTGCTCTCAGCTCATGTTCTGCAAATGTGTGTTTTTGATGCTACATGCAGTTAGTTTTCTCCCCTCCTCTGCTGCATCCTCCCTTCACGTGCCCCTCCCTTCCCCTTTCATGTCTAGATGGGGGTTCTGCTGAAGCAAATTTAAGCAGATGGTTTTCCTTTTGAGAAAAAACAACATTTCCACCAGCCGTGCTCGGATGTGATAACACCCCACGCTGTACATAAACCTGTCTCCTGCTTGACTGTTTGGTTCCAATTAAACCGTTTACACGCGCTGTATTTTAGGGGCGAGAGGACTACTTGAGGCATATCCTCCTCTGAGACTCTTCCTCCATTAGCTTGGGTCTTTTTGTTAGTTTTGATAAGTTTTTGTTTTCTTGGAGGTTCGGTTTGATGGCATGTTTTGCAGTGAGAAACACACTCAAGGCCTCTAACTTGGCGAACAGCGTAGCTTGCACTTATGTTCGTCACTACTCATCATAGAGGGGCTGCATACTTTTACTAACATCCCTTGCTCTGATTCACAAAATCATTTGCCACCCTCCCTGAACGCGGTGTAGAATTAGCCCGCACCATCACCCGTTATCAAGGGAGCGCTGTTAAATACCATAATTTGAGCCAATTTGAATACTGTTACACACCCAGACAGTTCACTCATCAGTGGTTTTCCCCGTTTCCTCAGAATCCCTTCATTATGCTGGGTCATTTGTATTCTCGTTCCCTTTCCTTCTGACCTGCTCATTTCCATAAAGCCTATCCCGCTTGAGCTCGCACTGTAGGAGCCGATTCACATGCATGGTACTATAAACCAACACAAATATTGACAAAAGTCAGTTACTAAAGCATTCGAGGTATGAGTTAGCGCTCTTGTTGTTGCATTGACCTATGGGGAGCCATCGTCTGCCACCGTCTCTCCATCTTTGCTGGTCCCTCAGGTCGTGCAGTCCCTGGATGGCAGGGTTGCTACTGACTCATTGCTCTTACATTGGCCTTGCAGACACACAACAGATAACCATTTGTCAGCTTTTTTGTGCCTCTGACAAGATGTCAGTGTGTGTGCACATTGTGTCTGTGCTCTCAGAAAAGACAGATAGAGATGTATAGATAATCTGACAAGCAGAGAAAAAGATGGGCGGGGGATGAGGGGAAGAAAGGGTGTTCTGTGGGTTTATCTGATTTGAGTGCTCGTTTGTGATACTGTTTTTGCTCATGTTTTTCATATAAACACAGCATTTCTCCCTTTCTCCCTCTCTGTTGTTACCTAGACGACGACCCATTGCAGCCTATGACCTCAGATGAGACTGTTTCCGTTGGGGGCACGGTGACACTGACCTGCAAGGTGGCAGAGAGCGACAACTCTTCACTGCAGTGGTCCAACACCGCACAGCAGACTCTGTACTTCGGAGAGAAGAGAGGTGAGACGCACTGAGAGAATGTCTAAAATGGGTTCCCAACGAGCAGACTGACGCTGGCTGTTATGTTTAGCATGTAGCAACATTGCTTGATAGAATCAAGTAGCAGGGTGCAGTAAAGCACAGCTCGATAGTTTGGAAACAATTGATTTTGTTAAAGTTTGGCTATTGTGATACAGGTTTCTGAGCAAAAGCTATTAATAGTAATTATTTAAGTTGTCACCGATTCTTTAGTAATGAGGATTATTACCTTTTTAAAAGAGCTTAAATCTAAAAAGTTTGAAAATGTTAAAAGTGAACATTAGAAGTGTTTTAAGAGGTCCTTCATTCATACTTTTAATACACTTGCAGTGGCCTCTAGTAGGAATTAATGCCTTCTAAGTTGTTTCCTGGAAGAAAAGCTGCAGTGCGCCATGAAGAAGTCAGACGACAGGATTTGGAGTCTCATTTCCTGATATTTTAACGTCTTGCCTCTGATTGGTTAACAGCAACAGGACTCAACCACTGAATCTGTTCGCTTTGCAATGCAGAATTTTTATCTCCACAAACATCATGTTATTCAGGACATTATCTGCCGTTTCCTGGACGCTAAACCAACCCGTTGTTAGTCCAAATGGGTGAGTCCATGAATAATAAGTGACAGTGTGACGTAGATCTGTCAAGATTTTCTAATCCTAGAGTTTCACCGTCTGTTTTCTATCAGACGCTCATGCAGGAGATAGGTGTAGGACTCATTTTTCACATTCAGCCTGCATGTTAAACTCAGAGTAACAAAAATAAGTGAAACATGGTTTCTCAGTGAAGCACCTCTTTAAATCATGCTGGTACAAGGAATATTTGCACTTGAATTCCATGTAGATCCTAATTTAAAATAGAAATGTAAGGAAAAGCTGTTTGAAGACGTCAGCACCACATGTAAACCACGTACACGCGTAGCCAGGCACAGGTTTGGTCTGTCAACCATACAAAGGCAAAGATAAACGCCACAAAAAAAAAAGGATTATTTCAAAAACTTTAACCCCAAGAGGAAATTTGCGAATACTCTGTTGTCAGTATTTGCTGGTGGACATAAATGAGCGGGGTTTTAGGTTTAGCAACATCACTGCCTGCTGCAAAAATGCTCTGACATCACCTGTGTTGACACTAGCTTGTTTTTACAAGTTACTGCTCTATGTGGACAACCACCTAATTATTCTGCTTCCTGGGAATGTTATTTGTTAAATGGCCTGCATTTAATATAGCGTCTTCTAGAGTACTGGAACCCCCAAGGTGCTTTACAACACAATCAGTCATTCACCCATTTACACACACATTCACACCCTGGTGGGGATGAGCTACGATGTAGCCACAGCTGCCATGGGGCGCACTGACAGAGGCGAGGCTGCCGAGCGCTGGTGCCACCGGTCCCTCCGACCACCACCAGCAGGCAAGGTGGGTTAAGTGTCTTGCCCACGGACACAACGACAGCGACAGACTGAGCGGGGCTCGAACCTGCAACCTTCAGATTACGGGGCGTGCACTTAATTCCTGTGCCACCATCGCTCACTTTTGGCAAAGATGCTGAAGATTTGGGGAGCTGCTGCCACCTACAGGTTTGGCATGCCTATGAATGTACTTCACAGTGCAAAGCGAGGTGGCGTGGGTCCACGTTTTTTTTCCTGGATGGGTGGGGTAGGATATTTGGTTTGACAACAGCCCGGCTATGAGTGTACATGGCCGTAGCTCTTGTCACTTGAGCTAGCCGTTTGCTCATCAGTTCTGATGGGTGTAAATAATTTCTCCAAACTGAGGTCCTTCTCTGTGTTCACTTATGAATTATTGATACGTTTTACAAGGGAAAAAAATGATTTATTAAAGCATATTTGAATTTAATGCTTTGCTAGTCCCACAAATCAGCATCACTGATAAACGTTTAAAGGATTTACACATAACAGTAAATGTTTTTTTTTATAGTTATAATGGAAACATTTACCATTCATTGCTAAGAATCATCCTTACGCTGAGTCCCGCTTTGCGTTTACGTCACGAAACATGAATGTAAAAAACGTTTTTCTCCCAGATGGCAGAGAGGTCATTCTGTTCAGGGTTCAGCAGCAGAAAGCTGCTTCTTCTTCTGTTTCATACGAATGGCTACCTTTACTTCAGCTGCAGTGAACACATAATGTAACACGCCAGATGGACTGTTACTACACACAACCATCTGGGAAGTTGGTTTTCACAATTAGTCAAAAATAGTCAGGCTGTTTGGTTTCAAACATAAATTGACTGATATTGAATGAACAATCTGTCTAGTTTCAGCTTATCAATTAAATGGTTTGGGTCAGATTAGTGAACCCAATTCCAGATTATGCCAGTCAGAATAAAAGAAATTCACCAGTTTACAGATTCATTCAGCTTCTGTGCAACTAATGTGACCGTCTCCATTGCTGACGCTAGTCGGCGGTGGTTAGGTGGTGGGAAGCGTTGTGTAGCTGCGTTATGGTTGTTAGGCTTCCAACTTTTGTTTGCTAAATGATATCGCTTCCTGTTGAGTATCATTTCATAGGAAGGAGCTAATTCATAAGGCATATTACTACTCGCCACAGTCTGCAACTCACACCATGGCTTGGAGTCAGGTTAGTGTGAGACTTTCCCTCGCCCAGAACAAAGCATCAGGCAGCAGAGTTCACACTCCTCTTTTGGACAGTTTAGCCCAGCTCCAGAGTTTTGGAACTTCTTCTCATAGCGAGAAGGATGTTCTAGAACAAACTTTCAGTGAGGAGCTGGCCCACTATATAGGGGGAGGGTCCCCGGTGTCCAATCAGGGCTGGCAGTGTGGAATAGGATTTTCTGATGAGGTCATGCCTAGGGTGTTCCCACAGTGAGACACAAAACGAATGCTATGAAAGAGAACACAACCCTCAAAGCAAAACATTAGGTTTCTCACTGCTCTCTCCTACTGACTGAAAGTGGAATTACAACTTATTTCACCATCAATCACAAGGGCAGGAGCAACAAAGCCAGGTCACCATCAGTCTGTGTAGGCAGAGACGATGATCACTCAGGTGTTGCTCTTTGCTTTGCCTCACTAACTTGGTCACCAACCTTTAATAAAGGAAATTATTTCAGTAGTGCACGTTGCATTTGCTAAGATAAAAACTGGTTGATGCCATTCTGAAACATTTAGGTGTGACTAAAAGTAAAAAAGAAAAGAAATCAGATGCATGAAGTAAAACAACACATTCTCACTCCCAACGCATCAAAAACAAACGCTTGGTCAGCCACCCTCCACGTCAGACCTCAGACGCCAAAAGTGCCCTTTTTCGTTACTTATGTGCGAAAAGGGGTTTTTCCCTTTTCTAACTGCAGATCCCAGTGCAGCGTTACACTGACACGATGGGATGTCCGCTGATGTGGCACCGAACCAGCTCATTTAACCGCACCTAAACCTTAACGTTTCACTATTTATAACCTTCCCCTCATCCTCATCCTAACCTTAACCCTCTTGCTACCTAAAACGTTACTCTCACTGTGATCAAGCATTTGTTTCCCATGCATTCTGACTGTGAATTTTCGTATTTGCCGCCCAAGGGGAACGTTAGAACATACCATCTGGCGAGGGGGAGGTTACAAACACCCTCTACTTTTAACCTCCACCTTGGTAGTAGAAACCTCCCCCTCGCGTTGGCTCGGTCCAAACTCGACCAATGACGAGGCGGCTCCCGCCGTTCACTTCATAGAGCCGGCTTTTAGAGCGACCGACACATCACTAACGTGTTCGCTAGCAAGATGGTTAAGGTTAGGATAGGGGTGAGGGGAAGGTTAAATGAGAGGATAAGGTTAGGGTGAGGTACAATGAGCTTGTTTGTTGCCCTGGCTGCGCACATCCCATCGCGTCAGTTTTATGCTGCACTGGGATCTGCAGTTAGAAAAGGGAAAAACCTTTTTTGCACATAAGTAACGAAAAAGGGCACTTTTGGCGTCAGGGATCTGACGTGGAGGGTGGCTGACCAAGCGTTTGTCTTTGACACGCTGGGAGTGAGAACGTGTTGAGTAAAAACATATTGGGGTTGTGCCATAATCGAAAGCATGGAGGAAAAAAACCCACACTTGTGTTCTCATCCTACATGTAAGTAATTTTCAGGCAACAGATTTGCAATTAAGATGTTCGCTGCTGTACTCTTGTTAAACACGGCCCCAATAATCACTTTAAACATAAAGGGTTAAATGCTTTGTTGAAGTGAAATCTCCAAAGAAAAACAGACGACAGAGAAAACAAGCAGCGTGTTTTTGTACGATTACTGGGAGCCAAAAGTGCTCAATAAATGCAACCAAACAAAGAACAGGACAAGCAAACCACAGAGTGGGATGGATTAAAGTGCATCAATGTGCCCAATTATAATAGCTGCTCTTAAAGATTAACTGTGTCAGCTTTATGATGTACCATTTGGTTCAAGCTGAGTGCCTAATGAGGAGGTGATTCAGCCTTTAACTTAGAATGTTTTTATTTTGAGATGTGATTGCTGCGTTTCTTTTAATTCAACTGAATACAACAAATAATTACAACTAAATAGCATTGAACAAGTTGTATAAATGTGAAAAAATGAATTAAAAAGAGGAGAGGAGTGCACAGATGGACAGAAAGGGGTAGGACTGGTGAAAAATGTGACGAAGAGGAAGACAAGAGTGACAGAAAGAGGCCCGTATGCACCAGTTCAGAGTCGAGAGTGGAGAGGATAGAGCTGACTGCCGACCGAGAAGTTTTCGCTGCACAGTGCCAACACTGGTGCAACAGACAATTTGGAAACCAGAGGGAAGTGATAGAGAATGATGGAGGGAAGAAAGGAGGGGGAAACTGAGAGAGCAGCAAGTTGTTACTCCAGCAGGAACTTCAGCTGCAGCAGAGAGAAAAGGGAAGTGAGGCTCATCACTGTGATTCCATGCTTAAAGTCTGACCTCCACTTTGAAGGGAACTGAGAAGAGTGCTGAAGAAGTGGTCGGGAAAAGCAAAACATAAGGAGGAG